AAGGCCGGGGATTGGGAAACAAGGATGAGGAGATAATGAAACAAGATTCCTATCTGAATAATTTCCTCTAATTGCTGGTAAGAGACATTCATTTTCCTTTTGAAGCTCCCGGGCCCCCGGGCGTCCTGGGACGTGCCAAGCGGGCAGCCCGTCTAGCCGGATCGTCCCAGCGCTGCCTGCGGGGCTGGCACCCGGCCACGCGGGGGCGGGCAGCGGGGTTCGGCTCCCCTGGCGTGGGCTGCTCCGCTCTCTGCCCCGGGGTGTGCAAGAGGCCTGGCGGGGCGGGCCCCGGCCCCAAGCTCCTGGTGTCTCTGTCCTGTCTGAGACCCCAGCCCTTCTCCGCGCACCCGCTGGGTGGCTGGGTGACCCGCCTTCCCCTCGCCTTTCCTCCCCGGGACTGCAAGCCGTGGCCAGTGGGGTCAAGGTCGGCGTGGCAGCGCCTTCCCGGTGGGTGCCCGTCCCCTGCCGCGCCCCCAGCTTCTCCAGGGAGCTGCAGGCTTCATGGTGACGCCCATTTTACAGATGAGGGAGTTGAGTTTCGAGGAACAGGATTGGACCCCCTGAGCGGGAAGCTCGGTCCTTTGATATGTGCAGGGACCACGTGATACCAGAAGTGGCCCCGGCTTGAGACTGTGGGGTGGGGGAACCCCCTGTTCTCCCCTAAGAAGATTTTCATTCTCTTTGACCCCTGGCCCTGTATGAGGAATAGAACGCGCATGCTCCTGGTTACTGTCTGCAGAAATTCCCGTGTGACGAGTTGGGGCAGTGTCATAGAAAGGACACCGGGTTGTATACCTTCGTGAGTTCACGCTTCAACTTGTGGTGTGTCCCTGCTTCCCCGGGATTTGGGGAGAAAGCCAGAGGGCTGCCTGGAGGAGGTGGCACCTGCCTCCAAGTCTAGGTTCCTTTGTGTGGCCTTCAGAGCTCCCCCCTCAGCCATTCTCGCCTCAGTTTTAAATCGGCTTCTCCAAACTTGCAGTTGCTTCCAGAACTTGCTAGTCTACTCCTGTCTCCATTTTGTACACACTCTCCCCTTTGATGTGCCTGCGGCCTCTTTGCTTTTGGTCCCTATTGAGCTTCTAGTCATCCGTCAATACCCAGGCGCAGGGAGTGCATGCCCATCCGTCCAGGGAGTCCTTACCTCCTCTTCCAGGCAGCCCCCTGTGCTTAACCCCAGCGTGGAGAGGAGGAGTTTCCTCATCTGACCTGGATGGCACTGCCTGTGGCCTGCCCTCAGGGACACCTGACCAGGGTGTGTCAAGGCTGCTCTGTCACCGCAGGAAGGGACAGAAGCCAGAGGAGCCCTCCCGGTGAAAGCCACGCGCATGTTTACTTTTGGTGTTTTATGGGCCTCCTTGGGAGTTGAGAGATGGAAAAACAGAACTCCATCCACCCTGGCGAGTCTCAGATCTCATCCTTAGGGTGGAGGAGGGACATGCAGAGACCGTCCCTGTGGGCCGGGACTGAACCCCCAGATCCTGCCCGGAGCCAGAGACCCGGGATGGAGCTGGCCACCGGCAGGTGCTTAAATCATAGTGGAGGGTCCCATGACTCATAGTCTCCCTCCATCCCTGTCTCTGTCTCACAAGAGCTCTGTGGCCTGCAGAGCGGATGGAAGCAGCCAGTCCTATTTTACAGATAGGTAAGCTGAGGTCTAGCTGTGCCTAGTCTCTTATTTTCCCAATATGAGGAAGTGCTGCTGTGAAGCCTCGCTGCCACGATTGGCCTGGTCGTGGTTGTAACTAACCACAAGCCCAAATGAGTCCTCCTGGGGAGGGAGGGGAGGGAAGGGGTTGGAGGGGAGGGTGTTCTGTCTAGATGCCGATTTAGCAGGTGGCCTTAAGTCTATCCTTTGCATAACTCGACTTCAGATTGCCCATCTGTGAAGTAGGATGGGGTACCTGGGACTAGTGAGGGGTGGGTGTGGCTCAGCGATAGAGCCCCTGTCTAGAATCCCCCAGTGAGGGGCTGGGGTGTGGCTCAGTGGTAGAGCCCCTGTCTAGAATCCCCCAGTGAGGGGCTGGGGTGTGGCTCAGTGGTAGAGCCCCTGCCTAGAATCCCCCAGTGAGGAGCTGGGGTGTGGCTCAGTGGCAGGGCAAGTGCAAGGTGCTAAATTCAAATCGCTAGTACCCGGGAGGGGAACTGCGCGTTGCTACGCTGTCAGGCTTGTGTAGACTGTGATGTGGGGGGGGGGGCAGGAGCGGCTTCTGTTCAGCTCTTCAGAGCTGCTCAAGCAAGTCCTAAAACCCCGCAGACACTGGGTCCCCCAGGGTGATGGTAGGATGCAGGTCAGCCCCATGGTGGCCGTGCTGGGGACGGGAGGACTGCACCTGCGGAGTAACGGACAGCAGATTGGAGCCCCAAGGGACGGTGGGGAGGAGGCGGGGATGGCCCCTGATTTACAGGTACTGCAGAGGGAAGGGCAGGCTAGATTTATGGACACCCAAGTGAGTTGTTGGAGCCGAGTTTATTATCCGTCACAGGCATCTGGATGTGTATTTATGGCTTTCCAAACGATCCTGTCCCGAAGAAAAACCACCCGCAGCACGACTCTACATTGAGGGCTGAGCCGGAGCGAAGTTCAAGGCTTTCTCATGGTCTCCTGGGGATGCCTGGGACTCAGGCCTCTGAAGCCGACATTGACCGACGGGCTCTGGTCCGGGTCCTGCACAGCAGCCGCATGCAGACAGCTCGTGGGGCCTTGCCTGGTGTGTCAGGAGCAGAGGGAAGCACTATAGCTGTGCGTATGATAAGCAGGGGTGGCGTGGGGTGAGCATTGCTCCCTCCTCCTTTCCCCTGCCCTCCCTCTGAGTTCTTTCCTTCCTCCCCCCCCCTCTTCTCCTTTCTCTCTCTCTCTTTCGTTCTCCCCTCCCTCCTGCTCCCCTTATTCCTTTTGAACCAGGGTCTCATGTAGCTCAGACTGGCTTCAGATCCACCATGTGACCGAGCGTGACCTTGAACTCCTGATGCTTCTGCCTACACCTCGAGAATGTGAGGTTACAGGCATGTCCAGCTCATCAGTGCTGGGGGGCAGAGCTCCAGGCTTCCTGTATTCTAGACAAGCGCTCTGCCAACTGGGCCACACCCCCAGCCTCCCTCCGTTAGACAGAGTCTTGCTGTGTAGACCAGGCTGGCCTTGAACTCACTATCCTCCCAACCTCTGCCTCCGAAGGATGATGGGCAGGTGTGCACCCTGTCTCTTACAGGCTGTGTGGCAGCCCAGGAGTGGCTTTTGTATATAGGCAGGCAAACAGTAGACGTCTGCAAACCACGGAACCTTCCTAAGTCTGTTTCCTCATCCAGGAGTGAGCAGTAACTAACTACCTGGGCAAGGAGCCCTGAGGCATACAAGACACCACTTGTACCGTGCTTACCACAGCGCCCTGGCATTCAGTATGCCCATAAGCATTTCCTTTTCTATTGTCAGAGTTATTACCAGGCATCCGAGCCATGTTTGGCACAACCTGACCACCAAACAAGATGAGTTTTGGCTGGCGCCCCATGCGGTGGAAGACAGACCACTTACCTGCTCTGTATGCCTGGATTCCAGTGGGAAGATCCCGGCCAGTCTAAAAACCGTGGCTTTGGCTTGGAGCTGGGAAGACGGGTGAGAACGGGAAAAGCCTGTGGATGATTTTACAGACCTGAGCTTGAGCTTGGCACACAGGGCTACAAGGGCTGGCGTCTCGCCAGTGCCCACCATCGTGGTCTTCACTTTATCGTGTGTGTGTGTGTGTGGGGGTGGGTGTGTGGTGCACATAAGTCTGCATGTTGTCCACCTTGGTTTTTTTTTTAAAAGAGGTTAATTTTTAAGCCTTGTTTTTTTTTTTTTTTTAGAATTTTGTACAGTACGTTTTGACAATATTCACCCCCTCCCCCCAACTCCTCCCAAAGGTCTCTCCCTGGCCTGGAACTCAGCAAGTAGGCAAGGCTGGCTGGCCAGGGAACCCCAGGAATCCCCGCCTCTACCTCCCCCATGCTAGGATCACAGTACACACCACCATGCCTGGCTTAAACTTTTAAAATCGCATGTATGTGTCGTGTGTGTACGTGCATGCAGGTGTGCTGTAGCATGTATCTGTCGTGTGTGTACACGCGTGCATGTGTGCTGTAGCATGTATCTGCCGTGTGTGTACACGCGCGCATATGTGCTGTAGCATGTATCTGTCGTGTGTGTACACGCGTGCATGTGTGCTGTAGCATGTATCTGTCGTGTGTGTACACGCGCGCATGTGTGCTGTAGCATGTATCTGTCGTGTGTGTACACGCGCGCATGTGTGCTGTAGCATGTATCTGTCGTGTGTGTACGTGCGTGCATGTGTGCTGTAGCATGTATCTGTTGTGTGTGTACACGCGTGCATGTGTGCTGTAGCATGTATCTGTCGTGTGTGTACGTGCGTGCATGTGTGCTGTAGCATGTATCTGTCGTGTGTGTACACGCGTGCATGTGTGCTGTAGCACACCTGTGGAGTTCAGCAGGACAGCTTGTGGGAGTTGGTTCCTTCCTTCCAGCACGCGCTTCCTGGAGACGGAACCTGGGTCATAGGCCTGGCAGCCAGCGCCCCCCCCACTGAGCCATCTCTCTGGCTTTTGTTTCCAGTTTTGATTTCCCTCTTCCGCTGACTCCTCAGTCCCCAAAAGCTGCTTTGTGCGCTGAGATCTCTGCTTTTCCCCACGGGAGAGAGGGGAAGGCACACGCTCACACTGTTCTGACTGGGCATCGAAGCCCTGTGGCTGAGTTTTGTATTCTTATCCTCGCATTTGGTTACACGCAGTGTTTTTTTTTTCTTTTTCAAGACAGGGATTCTCTGTGTAGCTTTGACTGTCCTGGAACTCACTCTGTAGACCAGGCTGACCTTGAACTCACAGAGATCCTCCTGCCTCTGCCTCCTGAGTGCTGGGATTAAAGGCGTGCACCACCCCCCTCCCTCCCTCCTTCCCTCCCTTCCTTACTTCCTCCTCCCTTCTGTCCTTTGTTTCCCTCCTCCTCTACCTCTCCTTCTAAAGACATTTATTTATGTATGTGTCTGTGTGTGCACAGTACACGTGTGTGTGGGTATCCAGGGGGTTAGAAGAGGACATTGGAGGGCTGGAGAGATGGCTCAGAGGTTAAGAGCACTGACTGCTCTTCCAGAGGCCATGAGTTCAATTCCCAGCCCCCACATGGTGGCTGTAATGAGATCTGGCACCCTCTTCTGGCCTGCAGGCAAACATGCAGTCAGAACGCTGTATGCATAAAAAATAAAATAATAAATCTTTAAAAAAAAAAAGAAGAGGACATTGGATCCACTGGAGCTGGAGTTCCAGGCATTTGTGGCCTCTCTCCTGCCCTCTCTCCCATCCTCCTCTCTCCAGCCCTCTCCCTCCCCAGTGCTGCAGGGGAACCTGGAACCTCACAGTCTCTACCAGTGGAGCTGTATTCCCAGCCCTCAGATTTTTTGAATGTCAAACAATCTCAGAATAATAGCAATTCAGTTTTAATCCCCTTCCCAACACTGTCATTTTCTCATCTTGATGTGGGGTTTGGCAAACATGTATTTTCAGGTTCGCAACCCACATGGTTTCCGTTACATCTGCTCCTCAATGCCTGGTACCAGGCAACAGCAGCTGAGGCAGTGTGTAAATGAGTGGTCATGGCTGACTTCCGCGAGGACACAGGAAGTACACCCAGAACCCACCCCTCTGTAAAGGTGGTGTGAACACTGGAAAATTGACTAAAACCTTACAAGAAATAAAGTGTTTGTTTTGTTTTATTTATTTATTTATTTTGAGACAGGGAGCTTGCTATGTAGACTAGACTTGCTTCAAATTCACAGAGATCCCCCTGCCTCTGCCTCCCAAGTGCTGGGATTAAAGGCGTGTGCCACCATGCTTAAAGTCTATCACTAGTTTTGAAACATGGCTGAGGGATGGGGAAAGGCAAAATGTTTGCCGTGTGAGCATGAGAGCTAGAATGTAGATCCCCAGAACCTGTGTAAACACTAGTGTTGAGCATGGTGGCCTGTAGTCCCCGCTCATGGGAGGTGGAGACCCGGGAACTGCAGAGCAAGCTGGCTAGCTCAGCCTTCTCAGTCAGAAAGCTGTGGGTTCACACGAGAGACCCTGCTTCAACAGCAAGGTGAAGAGTAACCAAAGACACCAGTGTCAGCTCCCTCCCTCTCTCTCTCTCTCTCTCTCTCTCTCTCTCTCTCTCTCTCTCTCTCTCTCTCTCTCTCTCTCCTCTTCCCCCCCCCCTCTCTCTCTCACACACACACACACACACACACACACTGGATCACAGTAAGAGTACCATATTTTATGGGGTCTTGTGTGTGTGCATGTGTGGAGTTTGTATACATGCATGTTTCATGTGCGTGTTCATGTCCGTGTGTGTATAGAGGTCAGAGGTCAGTGTTGGGTCTCTTCCTCAGTCACCCTCCACCTTCCTCATGAGGCAGGGCCTCTCCCTCACCTGGAACTCACAGATTCTGCTAGGCTGGTTGGCCCCTGGGCCCCAGGGATCCTCCCGTCTCTACCTACTGAACACTGGGACTGCAGGTGTGCACACACCCAGACATGTATTTTTTTTTAACATGGGCACGTGGACTCCTAACTCGGTCCCTGGTGTCTGCACGGCAAGGGCTTTACCTACTGAGCCATCGCCCCCGCCCAGCTTGGTGCTGGTTTTTATTTGACTCATTCCACAGCTAGGCCACAGGCCTAGAGCTGGTATTCACACAACTCCGAGGGCTGTGAGGCCAGTTCCCATGGCAGCCAGTGAGGGGAAGTACAAACAGGCTTAGAACTCCCGGAAGGCCCTGTCCCCGGGGAACCATTGCTATTTGATTTGACGGGAAGTCCGTCTGTGAGACCGGAGGCTCTGGCTGGTGCACAGCTCACTGTGTGAACAGCTGTAACTCCAGGGCGCGCCTCAGAACGGTCACCCGCAACTGCAGCACACACAGCTTCCTGAAGAAGCCAGGCTGGTGAGCGTCTAAACTAACTCGTGAAAGGCTGCTGGGCTGCGGCTCTGCAGTAGATTCCTTGCCTTTCATGCCTGGTGCCCTAGGTTCAATCCTATTACTGCTAAAAAAGAGAAGTTGGAGAAACTCCTTGGGGGGACTGGAAAGCTCCAGGGACTCAGGAAGGCCCTGTGTACCTTAGCTTATATGCCCCCAAACACACCAGGCTAGTCCTGGGCACGCCCTCCCCTTTACCACCGAGGTCAGTGGCTTTCACTGTTGTACGTGTGTTTTGTTTGTCAACTTGGAACGAGCTAAAGTTATCTGGGAAGAGGGAATCACAATTGGGGGAAAAATGAAATAAAACGCCTCCACCACGTCAGCCTGTGGGGCATTTTCTTAACTGATGATTGACGTGGAGGGCACAGCCCACGGTGGGCGGTGTCGTCCCTGAGCAGGTAGGTAGTTCCTGGGAGCTGGCTGAGCACGGTGCGAGGAGCCAGCCAGTAAGCAGCATTCCTCCATGGGATTTGCTTCCGTTTACGCCTTCAGGTTCCTGCCTTGAGTCTCTGCCTTGACTTCCCCCCATAATAGACTGTAAGCTGACAGAAACGCCTTCCCCCCATAATAGACTGCAAGCTGACAGAAACGCCTGTCTCTCCGTGTTGCTTTAGCCCGCGGCGTTTACCGCAGCAACAGAAAGCAAACCGAGACGAGCAGCGTGTGTTAGCGTCTGAGCCGTCTCTCCAGCCCTGAGTCATCGTGTGCTCTTGAGAGACACAGCTCAAGCTCCAACTGACCCCTGCTTCCCACCACGCAAAAGGTCATGCACCTCAGTGTAAGAGCCAACATCATAAAGCCTTTGGAAGGAAACGTAGGTGTCAGTAATTGTAATCTTGGATTAGGTGATGGTTTCTTTGATGTAGCATTTACGATTCAAGTAATGACCGAGAACAAAGTAGACAAATCGGGTGCTTTAAATGAGAGGTAGATTGTTTCTCCGCAAAAGGGATGCCATCAGAATAAAAACTCACTCATAGAACTGGAGAAAATGTTTGCAAATATTGGACACAATATTGGGTTGTTTTTCATATGGATATATGAAGAACAAGCTAGTGATAAAAAACAAACATGTCAACCAGCCCACGGGGGTAGGGGTGTGTGTGTGTGTGTGTGTGTGTGTGTGTGGTGTGTGTGTGTTGCAGCAAAGGAGGCATTGCCTCATCAGAGGCCACAGCTATTTACACCTGTCTTATTACAAGGCTGTTGTGATTTTAGGTCTATAATCTAAGCGGAATTAAACGTTTTATGTGCTGCAAGGTGGAGACCTATTGTGGGGAAAGGACTTCAACACTTCTTCAAAGGCAGACAATGGAGTTAACAGTCTCTGGGAAAATGCAATTCAGAGCAGCAGCAGCACTTCCTACCCGCAAGGAAGGCTATGATAAAAATAAATGTAGTGATAAGGCTGGAGAGATTGCTCAGTGGTTAAGGGCTCTTGCGCTCTTACAGAGGACGCGGGTTCAGTTCCCAGTCCCCACACTGCGGGGCCCACAACCGCCTGAAACTCCAGCTCTAGGGGATCCGAGGTCTCCAGATCACACGTGGGCCCTCATAAGCACAGACTGAAGAGAAAAGCTGGCTCTTAACTACACATCGTAAGAGGCGTTGCAGTGAGGCCGTGGCGGGGTTGCGAAGCCTCGCAGTCACTTTGAGAGCTCATTTGTCAGTTTCTCAAACCGTAACTCGGTTCCTAGAAGGCGTGGCTACTTCCTTGGAGGTACCAGGTCGGTTACTTCTCACTCTGAGGAAAAATATCTGACGAAAGCAACTTGGGGGAGGCAGAGCCTGTTTGGGCTCACAGTTAGGAGGGAAACAGTTTACCTGGAGGGAAAGGCTTAGCCACCGGCGGCTCCTGGGCAAGGTGGGGTGGAGGTGGTGTCTGGGGATTCCTGAACCCCCTTGTCTTCTCACATCTTAGTGGAACAAGACACGGAGAGCTGGCAGGGTGTAGGCCAGGGGTTTAGATCCTCAAGACTCACTTGGTCCAGTGCTTGGTCCAGTCCCTAAAGGTTCCACAGTTCTCACAGAGCTCTGCCTCCTGGACACGAGACGACCAAATGCGTGAGCCTCCGAGGGGCTTCTCACACTCTGACCACGTCAGACGAGTGAGTGCCGTAACTGTGGAACCGCACGTCTGCACGGAACCACACACAGATCTCACACCCGGTGGTTCATAACCACCTGGATCCCCAGCTCCAGGGAATCTGACTCCCTCTCCGGGCATCCACAAGCACACACACACACATGCACACACGTGTGCATATATACACACACATGCCCTATAAAAACAAGTATTTTATACATAAAAGGTCATACAGATGTGCAAGCCTTAGCGTTGTTCATAACAGTCCAAAGGAAGAAGGGACGCAAGTGCTTTATCGGTGGGTGAATACATAAACATACTCTCTGGCACATCCGCACAGTAGAATATTATTCACCCATGAAAAAGAACAGCGTATTTGTTACACACTGAAGCATAGCTGGATCTTTAAAACATGGTGGCTGGCGGCCAGTTGGTAAAGGCTTCTGTTGGTAGATATGTATAATTTTTAAAAGTTTTTTTTAAACATGCTAGTAGAAGCTAGGCACAAAAGCCCACACATTGTATGATTCCACTTACACACAATAGCTGGAACCAGCAAGCTCAGAGACAGGAAGGACATTGGTGGCTGTCGTGGACTGATGGATAGGGATGTAGCCGGGACGCCTGCCAATCGATGAAGGATTTTGAGGGGAGAGGTGGGTGAAACGTTTTAAAATTACACAGTGTCAGATGATGCTATGGTTTTAATTTTTGTCGTTTTTGTTTCATTTTCTTTTGTTTTTCAAGACAGGGTTTCTCTGTGTAGCCCTGGCCATCCTGGAATTCACTATGTTGACCAGGCTGGCCTCGAACTCAGAGATCCACTTTAGGGTTTTGATGGGGGATGTCCTTCTATATGCTGTGGGTATGTCACTTATTGGTTGATGAATAAAGCCATTTTGGCCAATGGACAGGCAGGATGTAGCCAGGCAGGAAATGTAGGTGGGGCTACCAGACTAGGAGAATTCTGGGAAGAGGAACACAGAGAGGGAGTCTCAAGGAGACACCATGTAGCTATCAGGGAGACAGGATGCCCAGGTATCCTTCCGTAAGATGAGTCCATGTGAAGACACACAGATGAATAGAAATGGGTTAATAGTTAGGAGAGAGCTAGCCAATAAGAAGCCTGAGCCATCAGCCAACAGTTTATAATTAATACAAGCCTCTATGTAGTTATGTGGGACTAAAGGGCTGAGGACTCGGGCAGGACAGAACATTCCACCTACAGGGTTTTAATTTCTTCTTCTTTTGAGACAGTACTTCTCTGTGTAACAGCCCAGGCTGTCCTGGAACTGGCCCTGCAGACCTCACACTCACAGAGATCTGTCTGCCTCTGCCTCTGCTCTGCCTCCAGAGTACTGGGATTAACGGAATGGGGTTGAGACAGGCTCCCGTGTTCATTAGGCTGGACTCAAACTCACGCTGTAAGCAAAAAATGACTTTAGGTCCCCAAGCCCCCTCCCCTGTGTTCCCAGTGCTGGGATGGCAGGTGTGTGCTACAGTGTGTGGTTCTGGGGATGGAGCCCAGGGTAGCATAAGGAGACACATCCCTGGCCGCGGGGTTAGTTTTTAATGAATTACCCCTTTTAGATTGAATTCTTTTAATATTTAGAAGTTGATATTGATAGACAGTGTGAAGGAAAGAGCTAATTTTATTCCTTTCCAAGTAGCTAACCAAATGTCCCAGCCTCACTTCTGGAACACTCCAGCTCATTCCCTGCAGATCTGCAAAAGCCACCTTAGGAAACTGAGACCAGTGGTCATCATGGCAACTGGGATGCATTAAAAGCCTCCCTGCTTATGAAGCAAAGGGCTGAGTCCAGCATGGTCTTGGTGTCCATCTTATCTAATGATGACACACAAACCTTTTGGTGTGTCTTAAAAAATTTCTAATGGGGTGTGGGGAGATGGCTCAGTGGGTTAAGTGTTTGCCAGGCAAGTGTGAGGACCTGAGTTCAATCCCCAGAACCCACTTTAAAAAGTGAGGCATAGTATTGTGTACTACTGGGAAGGCAGAGACATGAGGATCTTGGTGGCCGGTCAGTTAGTTGAATTGGCCTGCCGCCATGCCAGTCAGAGACTCTGACTCAAAAAAAAAAAATGATGTGCCTGAGAAATGATACTCAAGGTTGTCCTCTGGTCTCCACACATCACACATGCACATGCTCACCCGAGCTTGCATGCATGCATGCACACACGTATGCACACACACACACACACACGTATGCACGCACACACGTACACATGCACGCACTGCCACAATTCAAAAGGGAAATTATGGCCAGGAAGTTTTGTTCTTAATCAAACCTTTCCCAGTGGCCAGAGCATTTGGAATATGACATTAGTCCGTGGCTTGCTCCTGTGACATTCTGAGAACCCGAAGGGACATCATCAAAGTCCTATTTATTTATTTAGCATACAGTGCTCTGCTTGCATGTATGCCTGTAGTCCAGGAGAACCCTCTCGCTTCCAGGGAGCGAGGCTTCTGCCTCCACAGGCAGCCCAATCCTTCCTCCCACGGTGGGACTTCTGACTTAGGGCTTGGAACCCAGCGACTTTATGCCCCCATTGGTGTCCCGGCCTTGTGGAAAGATAGGACCCCAGCCTGCCCTTGTCTGACACAGGAACAAGAGTAGTCCATGGACTGCACATGTGTGTCCCCTAAGGTCACATATCAAAGCCTGTGATGGCTAATTTTGAGTGTCAGACGGAGGGAAACATGCCTGGGAGGGAGTCTCTAGACGGTAAGACGGGGAGGGAAGACTCTCTGTAAATGGCGGTACCATGCCCCGGGCCGGGATCCTGGACTGAGTAAAAAGGAGGAAGTGAGCTGAGCACCAGCGTCCTTCTCTCTCTGCTTCCTGACTGTGGATGCCACGTGACCAGCCTCCTCGTGCTCCTGCTGCCATTTTCATGCCCTTCCCACCTTACCGTGCCCTGAAATGACCCCCAACCTTAAGATGCCTCCTTCAGGTGTTGTCACAGCGATGAGGAAAGTAACACAGAGCCTGATTCTTCTGCATGACTGATGAATATTTGGAGGAAGGAGAATGGAGGGGGGAAAAAGGGAGAAAGAACCAGAGGAGGGCTTTTGGGGGGCATGATGTGGTCCTGAGGAGGGAGCCCTTGGGAATGGGATTAATGTCTTTCTAAGGACAGGCATGCATCATTGTATAGTAATTTCTTCCTGTGGACTGAAACATCTCATCATAGAGGGGTGATCTTAAGACCCAGGAAGTAAACAACTCATAAGTCTCAGGAAGTCCCTGAAAGTTAGCAGATTCATCACCAGCATGCCTGCCCCTAAAGTTACACAAGCAGGAAGGACTGCTGAGACGGGGAGCTCTCCAGCCTACCAATCTGTAAGTCACACAGACAGTGCCAATGTCATCCATTACTCAGGTCGGGTGATGCAGCTGCCTGTGAGTCATTCACTCCTGTAAGCAACCCCAGTACACTCATTGGTCCTCTAAGCTGGACTTTGCTGGCATCACTACTTTGGTCTGTCATCAGTCCCCTATCTGGGGTGAGTAGATACGGTTCACATCTCCTCAGGAAATGTGTGACATATGAGAACACACAGCAAGGAGAGAGCCATCTAGGAATCAAGAAGAATGTCCTCAGTCTGTTGCATCTGACTGCTAATAACTTGATCTTGGGTTTCCCATCTTCTAGAATTGTGAGGCTTATTTGTGGCCTATGGTCTATTTGTCACCGCAGATCGGGGTGCTTCTTGGGGAGCTAGCCTGGGAACCCCATCAATAAAGATCTTACCAGGCATTTGGAAATGCTTTTGCTGCAACGCACCCACTCCTCCCCTGGCCGGCAAGGTAACCAAAGGCTGGAGAAATGCCTGGCATCTCCCCTTCATTCTGCTTCTGCCTCTTGTCTTT